GTTGTGACAAAGGGGTACCGGATGTATGTACCAGATACAGAGAGCTTAAGGCGAGACATTCTACGAGAGTGTCATGACACCAAGTATGCGGGACATCCGGGCATACAACGAACCTTGGCCTTGCTACGGGAGCGGTACTATTGGCCCGGAATGAAGGGAAATGTAGAAGAGTATGTCCGAACATGTCTTGTGTGCCAACAAGACAAAGTCGAAAATCGTCCACCGGCGGGGTTGCTTCAACCCTTGTCAATTCCGGGACGAATGTGGGAGAGTGTGTCCATGGACTACATCATCGGCTTGCCAAAGTCCAATGGATGCACGAGCATTTTTGTAGTGGTTGATCGTCTCTCGAAATATGCCGAGTTCATCCCGGCACCGAAGGAGTGTACAGCGGAGGCAACAGCAAAACTCTTTATGGAGCACGTCGTTAAATATTGGGGGTTACCAACGAGCATTGTAAGCGATCGGGACTCGAGATTTACTGGGCGATTTTGGACGGAGTTGTTCCGTCTGTTGGGGTCGGAATTGAAAATGTCCACGACCATGCACCCACAAATAGATGGCCAAACAGAGCGAGTCAATCAAGTTTTAGAGGTGTACTTACGACATTATGTGACGGTAAACCAACTTGATTGGGCTAAATTACTCGATGTGGCGCAGTTTTGTTTTAATTTGCAGAAAAATGAGAGTACTGGGAAGAGCCCGTTCGAGATTGTACTCGGTTTCCAACCAACAACTCCGAAAGATTTGATGGGGACATATAAAGGACCGAGTCCGCCGGCGTTCCACTTTGCCAGGGGTTGGCAAGATCGGGCGGAAACAGCGAGGCTATACTTGGAGAAGTCCCAGAGACGGATGAAAAAGTGGGCGGACCGGAAGCGGATATTCCGAGAATTCAAAGAGGGAGACTTAGTGTTGGTAAAACTTTACCAACATGGGCGTATACGAGGCGTGCACAAAGGGTTGATGAGGCGATACGAAGGCCCGTTCCCGATCATGAATAAAGTAGGCGAAGTGGCGTACAAGGTGGAGCTACCCGAGGGCTTGTCCCAACTTCACCCGGTATTCCATGTTAGCATTCTCAAGCCTTACCACATGGATAATCAAGACCCGAGTCGGAATATATCAAAAAGAGCACCACCCGGGATGCGGACGGCGTATGACAAAGTAGCCGAGGAGATATTGGCGGTTCGACTAGTTCACCACAAGAACCGCCCGCCTTCGACGGAGTACTTGGTGAGATGGCGAGGCTTGCCCGAGGTGGAGACGATTTGGGAACCAACGGAGAAACTTTGGCAATTTGAAGACTTGGTACGTGAGTACGAGGCATTGAGGACAATGCCTTCATCAAGTGGGGGAGAATGTCACGACCCGAGTCCGTGACCAGAGATGACCGAGCGAAGGAGCCAAAACCTGGAGGCTAGTCCGGAACCTTGTAAATAAAAGTAGAACTTGTATGGAGTAGTTGGGGGTTGGTAGATGGTTGGTAGAAGATGGTTGGTGGGGGTTGGTGGAAGATGGTAGGTGGGGGTTGGTAGAAGGGTGGTGGAAGAGGGTAGGTGGGGGTTGGTAGATGGTAGGTGGGGGATATGGACTTGTATAAATAGGTGATTATACTCATTTGTAAATCATCAAGTTGAGAGCAATAACATCTACTTTCCTTTACTACTTCCTCTCTCTACGATTATCGAGTGTTCTTGATCGTGTTCTTGAGTGTTCTTAGAAGTGTCCGAAGAAAGGCTGTACTAGCAACCTCTAAGTGTCGGGAAGTTGCTAGGCCGCACGGAAGGTGTTCGAGGAACAACCAGGCGGTCCGTGACACAAGGAACCATAAAGGAATGCAGTAACTACGTCTAAAAGACGCATATCGAGCTTTTCTCGCACTGCTAGGCTCACAAGGTATCTAACTGTTATTCCATCAACAACTGGAGAGTATGTTTCATCAAAATCTACTTCAGGTCTTTATGAGAATCCCTGAGCTACAAGACGGACTTTATATCTCACAATTTCATTATGCTCATTTCTTTTTCGTACAAACACCCATTTGTATCCAACTGATTTTATACCATCTGGTGTTTGAACAATTGGTCCGAAGACTTCTCTTTTGTTTAATGAGTCAAGCTCTGATTGAATTGAATATTTCCATTTTGTCCAGTCATTTCTTTGCTAACATTCATGAACCGATTTTGGCTCTGGATTCTCATTTTCTTTCATTATATCAAGTGTTAACTGTATGCGAAGGCATTATCAATAATTGCCTCTTTACGCTTCCAACATTTTTTTGAAGTAACATAATTGATTGAGATTTCAATAATCTCATCATGTTCTTCAAAATTGTGCTCTTCTGGAAAAATTATTTCAATGTTGACTTTCTCATTAGATTGAGGTTTATCAATGTCATTCCTGATATTTTCACGATTATCATCATTAATTCCTCTTTTCTTTCGAGGATGTTTGTCTTTGGAACTGAGTGGTCTACCATGCATTAAGCGTGTCGGTGATTCATTAGCACTTGCAATTTGTCCATCAGGGACAATTATAGCATAATATAAAATGACATAATATGTCTGTTATTGGGGGTTTGCTGGATCTATGACAAAATCCACTATATCAAGATGCGTTGTGTTGTAACCCAAAAGATCATCATCAGGGTCGTCATCGTTATCAACGTGATTAATCTCGACCACTTTTCCATTTTTCTGCAGTGAAGCTTGATAAATTTCGGCTAGGTGTTTGGTTGTTCTGCAGGTATTGGACCCAATGACCTTCAATACCATACCGATTACAAATACCGATTTGCCTCTTTCCCTGTTTAGCGTTTTCGGCTATATCCCCATATTGAGGTTTACTCTACTTCCTGTTAATGTCAAAACCGCGGTGATTGTAAGGGGTATATCGACCGCGTTGACTCTCATGACCGCGACCACGTCCACGGCCTCTACCACGTCCTCGGTCTCGTTCAGAAAATGTCATGTTCGCTTTAGGGAACGGATTGGAACCAGTGGGCCAGGACTGATGATTTTTCATCAATAACTCATTATTTTGCTCAGCTAATAAAAAACATGCTATGAGCTATGAGTACTTTTGAAAATATTTCTTACGATACTATTGTTGTAGCACAACGTTAGAAGCATAGAAGGTAGAGAGATTCTTTTCCAATTTATCATTCTCAGTAACAATTTCTCCGCAGAGTTTCAACTAAGATGTAATCTGATGGATAGCAGAATTGTACTATGTAACAGTTTTAAAATCTTGCAATCGCAAGTTAAGCCAATCATGTCGGGCTTTTGGGAGAGTAATATATTTCAAGTGCCCAAATCTCTCTCTCAATTCATTCCATAAATCAAAGTAGATCTTTCACCGTCAAATATTCGGACTGTAAAGGAATGTCCAGATGGTGACAAATGAAAATAATAGCTTTAGCCCGATCTTGGCTTGTAGCCGCATTTTCACTGGAAATTGTATGAGCAAGGCCCATAGAAACCAGATGCATTTCAACATCCAATGACCAAGTCAGAAAATTATTGTCCGTGAGAAACAGGTTTAAAAAAAAAATTTTGCAAGATTTTCCATAATTTAAAAAGTAGATAATATAAATAGTATAAAAATAAAACTTATCAAAAAGAAAATAGACAAGAGTCTTCACGCTGATAATGTGTTATATAATAATTAATATAATATATGTGTGTATGTATGAGTATATATATATATGCAGTAAATGCTAGCTTAAGAAAGAAGCTTAGAGAGAGACAAAATAATATAATTGATTGATGCGATTTCCTCACTCATTTTTTCTTCCACAGTGTATATATATATAGGAAAGGGAAAAGGTTGTTTGATTAAAAATATATAGGAAACGGAAAAGGTTGTTTGATTAAAAATTGTCCAACAATTGCAGACATCATACGTATGTATTACAATAGTATGCATCTACATCGCGTATACGTGTATTTATAATATTTTTTTAGAAGTAATAAGGTAAAAACATTTTCTATATGTGTATTTATAACATTTTTTAGAAGTAAAAAGTAAAAGCATTTTCTAAAAGGCCTTAGAAACATTCGTTAGTCTTCCTTTGAGTTATTAATTTTTGAGTTATTTTTTAATTATTTTTCATGTTTTCAATTCATTTTGATATTTACATGTGAAATCTTATCCAAAAAAACTTTCAGAAATTAATCGGAAATCCAACTTCTTACTCCACTTCATCCGACCGACTCATCGTCTCAGTAAGCCATTGATTGAAATTTTCCAATAACAACAATAATGATAATATAGATGAACTAGAAAGGTTAATATAACCTAATTTAATATTTAAGTTTCTCAAAGAAAAAAAAAATCAAATTTGAATTGATTAATAGTATTTTATTTTCTTTTATCCATGTAATGTTTAAAAATTAAAGTACACTTGAAGCTCGTTGATAATAATTACATATGCATTAAGATACTAGTTTAAATCACATACAACCTGTTTCGATAATGCTAAATCAAAAATCAAATAAACATACAGTATGAATAGAGAATTATGATATTTGGGTGTATTTTCAAGTTCATGTATGACTTTTATTGAATATGTTTTAAAAAAATTATGAAATTTGTACATTATTTGGTTCGGTTGGAAGTGTTTCAAAGCTCATAAATTCCCACTTAAAAAAAAAAAAAAAAAAAAGCTGTTAGGCTATAAATAGATTTAAATTTATATAATTTTGTGCTAAAATATCATTTAAATAATTTGAATTAAAAAGATAAATTTTAATTACAATTTCAATTTGATTTCAGATCATATTATAAAAATAAAAAAATAAAATTTGTAAATAATAAAAAATTAGTATTCACGCGAAGCTTTATATAAAATATATATTTGATATGATATTTTTAAAAATTAAATAATACTAAAAAAAAAAAGTTTAAAAAGGCGTAGGACTACGATTCTGGTTTGAACGAAGACAGATATTTTATCATGGAGGTCCATCTTTGAACGAACACAGATTTAATTATCTTGTCGGTTAGCCCAGCCGGCCGAATGTCCAACAATTTGTTACGTGATGAACAACTGCTTCTTCCGCTTCTGCTTGTGCTTCTGCTTCTGTCAGCTCCTATCGATGGGGACGGACAACTACATCATAGAAGAAATTACACACGATCTCTTTCACCATAGCCATAGGAGCATCCTATTTTCCTGAATTTCGTCATCCCCATGTCTAATTAATGCATGCTTCTTTCAGTTTTGATTTGGGGGAAATCTAGGGTGAACCAACGTCTAGAGCCCTAATCCCTAGTTACTAGTTGCAGCAGCTCGTCTTCTATCTTCACTGCTCCTCACAATCACAAATAAAACCTTTCTTTCACTTCTTCCATTACCTTCGCTCATTTCGCCGTCCATAAATTCTCCAGGAGTGTCCGCCGCCTCCTTCCTGTTCATCCTCATCCGTTTTTTAGTGCCCTATTTAGAAATACACAAATAAAATAAATTCAGAAGATATTCAGTTCCTTGGAGATTTGTGAAATCTGTATAATGGAGTCTCTGCTGATCGGTTCGGTTCAGAAACCTTCATCGTTGCTATCACTTTCCTTCACTGGTGTGGCTATGTTTTTTCTTAACATTTATGTTGAATTCAATCTCCATGCACACACAGTGCCATGGGCTTTGAGCAATTTTGTATGATTTGTGTAGTGGCTCAGTGGTTCTGATTTTATATGCGTTTCATGTTAAACATTATGCTAAAAAAAAGGTAAAAATTCATATATTGTAGCATATAGATTATGGAAATTTCTCATAAATAGTTGAAATGTGTCTTGCTGACACTTGGAATTTTGGTTGATAATGCCAAGCAGAGTTTAGAGTTATATGTGTGTTGAAAGTTCTTATTATGCTTTCATTTTAAGTAAGAGTCTGTCTACTTTGCCGGGATGCTCCTAGGTCGAATTCGAATGATCTGGATTGTGGCAACATTAGATACCAAATAGGTTAATCGAAATTGTTCATGATTTATGGCAATTCTATGCATAAAATTCTTGAAATTCTCGTGTGTTCCATTTGGAAGATATGATCTCTATCCATGTTTCGATTTCATCAATGTTGCTAATAGATTCGAATACAGCAGGATATGTATCAAAAGGCAAAGTTATCGGGAACACAGAGAAACTTCTCAGCTTACCTGTAAGTTTGCAGCTAACAGGGCCAAATTTGCTGCGGCTACATGTCCAAAGAAGCAATGGAAGAACCATTGTATCAAATTCCAAACGCGGTTCAAGGCACATATCAAATTCAACGTCTGGACATTCCCTCGAATCCGGCCCTTCCAATAGCCCCTGGAGATCAGTGCATCATGCCTGGGATGCGTTCTACAGGTTCTCACGGCCTCACACCGTTATTGGAACAGTTAGGTTCAGAATCTAACTAACTAGCATGTAGCTTTGCACTTATCACTTACATCTGCATCTGCAGGTTCTTTTACATTTTTCGTAGATTTTTTTTAGATGAAAGAATCCTTAAAATCTGTTTTCCTGAGCAGGCATTGAGCATAATCTCCATCTCTCTTCTAGCAGTCGAGAAGCTCTCAGATTTTACTCCATTTTTCTTCACAGGGGTATTGGAGGTGTGACAGAGATCTGACATTTTTCGAATCCTTTTGAACTTGTTTGATCGATGCTTGTATTCTGAAGTAATTTTGTTTGCAGGCTATTGTTGCAGCGTTGTTTATGAACATATACATTGTTGGTTTGAATCAATTGACTGACATAGAAATAGACAAGGTTAGTTTATAATATTAACTCACTTCACAATGCAATCTACAAAATACAAATAGTTTAAGCAATTGTGTGCATTTGCATTTGTAAATTGATAAAGTTTCTGACGGTATTCTTTATCAGGTAAACAAACCATATCTTCCATTGGCCTCAGGGGAATACTCAGTTAATATAGCTGTGATGATCATCTCATCCTTTGCCATTTTGGTAGGTTAAAAGATGTGTGTACTTTGTCTGTATGATTTCTTTCTTGTCCTTAAATATGGAAAATGCGTAGATTTGAGGTTATCTTTACTGTTAATCTTCTTAAGTTTCAACTATGTATACTCCAGAAATTTCGAAATCATGAGCTCATTCCCAAAATTTAGTGTGATTACTTATTGATGGGGGAAATGTGCTTTAATTTCAGAGCTTTTGGCTTGGATATGTTGTTGGTTCGTCGCCATTATGTTGGGCGCTTTCTGTCAGCTTCGTACTCGGAACTGCATATTCCATCAATGTAAGTCATTTTCTCAGAAGTTGTTATGTTGCAGCTGAAAAGAATTTGAACAAAAACATATTACCTAACAACTTAAAACATTAGAAAATGCTTCCAAAATCAACATGGGTGTGTTTGTTTGAAGGATTTTTATGGATTTATACTGTTCACACAAATTTTTTCCCCAAAAACAGTAAATCAAATACCTACTTTTTATTTTTTATATTATACTAAAAGTCAAGTTTACATTCAAAACATTACATCAATATATATTTATATCACATCATACAACTATTCAAATTTAAATTTTTTACTATTCAAATCACAATCCAAAATCCAAACCCCAGACAAACACACCCATAAGTTCCTAACCGGATATTGGAGTAAAAATTTCTGCTAATAATGCCTTCTTATAATTGAGAAATCGCTGCATCCTGTGATCTTACCAAAGTTTCACCTTGTTTTAATAACTTATTCAGGATGGAAATGCTTAACATTAAGTCTGTTCACTAGGCATTTTTAGATAATTGATTTTTTGTGTGTGGTATGGGTAATTGTGTTGGTAATATAAAAAATAATATTTTGTATTGAATAGCTACTTTCTATGAGTGGATAATGTACATATTATATATAATGTGTGTATATTTGAATTTTTTAATAATATTTTTGAGGAATTGTTCCATTGAAAAATATTGATCGAACAGCCTGATTGTTGTTACTCATTATGAAAAACACAATTTCATTTTGTTTCTTTTTTGCCTTCTCAGCTGCCACTTTTACGATGGAAGAGGTTTGCCGTGGTTGCAGCAATGTGCATCTTGGCCGTCCGAGCAGTTATAGTCCAGATTGCATTTTACTTGCACATCCAGGTTATCCAAGTGATTTATTTGTTCCTTTAGTATCCATACAGTGTTTTGTATTCATAGTGCAATAAAGCACTTCACCATTTTCAGATGCATGTTTTTCGAAGGCCAGCTATCCTAACAAAGCCCGTGATTTTCGCAACTGCATTCATGAGCTTCTTCTCTGTCGTCATTGCACTATTTAAGGTATAGAATCATTACATCGGGTAAAGATACCTCAGCAAATAAACCAAATTATTTGTAGCAACATATGCCAATTTCAGCCAAGCATTCGAATCTGCTCTCTTATAAAATACTCATCTAATGTGTAGTAGGGCCTTATTTGATCTAGAGTACATGGCTGCTCCAAAATCGAATATTCTTGAAATTTTCTGTTTTTTATTGCTACATATGATTATGACCAGAAACATCCTCTCCTAGCCTCAATCGTACTTTGTTTGATCTTGCAAGGCTGTAAAAAACTGTTTTTTGATTTGGGAACATTATTCTCAGGACATTCCTGATATTGTTGGAGACAAGATTTACGGCATCAAATCTTTTACGGTTCGGTTGGGCCAAGAGAAGGTTTGTTATGAGCTTCCCTTGGAATCTTGTCTTCACTTTTTGTAGTTTTTTTGATTGGCATGCTCTAGTTTGATTTTGTTTTTTCCCTGAAAAAAAAAATGTTGTAGGTGTTTTGGATTTGTATTTGTTTGCTTGAAATGGCTTACGTGGTTGCTTTGTCGGTGGGAGCGACATCTTCTTGCAGTTGGAGCAAGTGGACTACGGTAACTCATCATCCCTGACTATAGATATATATATCTATGCTTATTATGATAAACGTAAACACAAAGAAACCAAGGCCTATGCAAGATCCTTACATATGTGTTGTCCTAATCGAACAATGTGGCTGCAACTTTGACGTGATGTCATGAAGCCCGAGGAAACAAAATTGCAGATCTCCCCTAGTTTATATAACAAGTACATCCTGCCCTCAATCGACTCCACTAATTTGTACTTCATGTGTGTTTTAGGTAATCGGGCACGCCCTGCTCGGGTCATTGCTGTGGAGTCGTGCAAAATTTATCGACTTTAAGAGCAAGGCTGCATTGACATCCTTCTACATGTTCATATGGCAGGTAATTTCTCACTTCTTTGTGATGTGCCCGTAGTCAGACAATGGCTGCTATCGCAAGTAAAAAATAGTTTATTGCATCCCGGCCGGGAAATGTTTTTAACTTTCCTACGGTCTACCCTGCAGCTGTTTTACGCCGAGTATCTCCTCATTCCTCTTGTAAGATGATTCCTTGGATGTAAGACAACAGCGAAGCTGCTCGATCGCATGACATGTCCAAAACATCAAGTCCCGGGAGCTTTATAGGGTCATTTGTAGTATCTTGTTAACGTAAACATAAGTCCCGGATACATCACTTGGCCCGTATATGTATTTTATTGTATTATCCTTATCGATCTACTTGGCCGGGCTGGCCTTCCCTTTTGTCCAGTTCTTTCTTTTGTTGGTTTCTGTGTTGGCCGAAGATTCTCTTGTCCCAAACTAAGCTCCATAATGATAATAATTTAGTGGCCTTAGAGTTGTTTGAATTTGGCTTTCTCCTTTATTCTGCACTTACAACAATGATTTGTAGCAATTGTTCCTGTCGTCGAACTGACCTCATTATAAGTATTCGGTGGCGGGTCTCAGCCCCCAAGCCATCAATTCGAGAATGAATTTTGCTTGTTTTTTGGATCTTAATGAAAACTTCCAGCCTCTCTGCTGAACAACGCTAGCTGTCTACTCAAAGTACTTAACCTATGGATTCATAGAAAATTTGATTGTACTGTTGTATTATGTCAAATTGTAAGATTTGATTTTCAGACAAACGACGAAAACAAGGCCCACTTGTTTGAAGAGAAAAATAATAAAATAAAAATATGGAAAAATACACACACCACCCGCCATATTCCTCAAAATTCAAGATTATTCATAATGGGAGGTAGAAAAAACAACACAAAGGAAGAAATGAATGATATTATTATTGTGGTTTCTTCACATTCATTGGCAATAATTCATTCCCAAGTCCTTTTCCATGTCATGTTCCACAGTGTACGTCCATTTTTAAAATGGTCCTATCCAATCTTAGCCCACTTTAGTGGGATGAATTGTGTTCTTTTCTGTGGCTTTTACACAATTCTTGCCATAAAAATACAAATTTTTGAACAATTATTATTGTTTGGATGATGTATATAGATTTAAAATAGTAAAAAGTTTAATACTTTTGATATAATATTAATAATAAAGTATATGTTTTTATGTTTACATATTTATTGTTTTTACGTATATTATTTTATAATTTTTGTTTTTCAAAATTTATTCTTTCTTTTCATTTCAGTCTGTCGCGTCAAATTTGTATTTATATTATAAAATATTTTCTCCTTCCGCCTTTAAGAGTCATTTACTTTTTACGTTATTTTATTTAACATTAAAAATATCTTTATATTGGTATAATTTTTGTATAAATGTCTTTTTATTAGTATTATAAGATACCGATAGAAGTACTTTTCTTTTTTTTTCTTGATTTGTATTATATTTTTATATAATAATTAATATTTAAAGATGAACCCATAAAAAGTAAATATGACTTTAGAATGGTAGTAATAGGCATTGTTTCTAATGTTACTTTATTCTGAATACTTTGTTATTATCATTACATAATACATACACTATCAGTTACATGCATTGTCAATGAATTTTCAAAATTTTCCTGCATAATTTTCAGTTTTATATATTAATTTTATGTTTTTAATGCACAGCAAAACAAATCCATTTTTGCCCGACATAGAGATAATTTGGTAGATATTGTAGAAGTGTGTAATAACTAAAATACTTTACATTTAATAAAGAGTTTGTTCTTTTAATATTCTAAATCAAAATAAACACTAAGTGAGTAATTGGTAGATAATGTAGAAGCATGCAAAGACTAAAATATTGCATACCTAATCACAAATATGTGTTGAAATAAGTAATTTAGTATCCTTGTATGAAATGATACAATATTTTATTAATACTATATGATCTACAATTATCAAATAATATACTCCCTCCGTCCCACATAATTTGTCTCTATTTTCTATTTTCGTCCGTGTCTCACGTAACTTGTCCTTTCTATTTTTGGAAATATAATTATGCACTTTAATCGCATTTTAAATTTTATAATTTTCTTAATTTTAATTAAACTATTTACTTATCTTAATCTTAATCTATAATTATTTTTACTAAATAATAATTATTTTTACTAATACACTTCTTAATTATTTACTAATTATATTTTACCTAAATTCTCGTGTCTACGGTAATACACCCATATTACATGGGACGGAGGGAGTATATGTTAATTGTCCGTAGAAACCGTAAATAACAAAATATACACCATCCGTCACATAACAAAATATTCATTTTTTTTATTTTAGTCATTTTGGTGTGTGAAAGAGAAGAAAGTAAGAAATAAATAAATAAATAAAAATGGGCATTGTCCCAAATGGGAAGCACAAACAAACCACCACCTCTTATAAGCATTTATTCTCATTTATTCTTCAATTGAGAATGGATTGGATGAGATAATGGGTTGGGCTTTGGCTTTGGTTTATATATATATATATATATATCTATAGTCAAAATTGAGCCTCAGAGTACTATTTTCTTTTAACTATTTTTTCTACTTTTTATTAATATAAAAAGTAAATATATATGTCATATTAAAATTCTTGCGCAAATAAAATAAATTTATTTTTGTGGAATCTATATATTGAAAAGTTTAAAAATAAACAAATGATAGCATAATGAAAGAGGAAACAGGTTGGTTAGGGCCATGGAGATATAGGAATGGATGGATGATTGATAAAGTGAAAATGGAGGACAAAGGCAGGCAGGCACAAGTGGAACATGGAGTTGTATTATTACACCACTAAGGATTATTGAAGACTACATACAGTCTACATATATATTTATATTATTATATGTTGATGCTTTGGAGTTAGGTGTGTGCTTTTGTCCCCCCACTATAGATAGATATGCTCATTGCATAAAGCCTTGCTCTACTATATTTAATTAATACTTTGTAAAATTTTATTGGTTTGGGTGAATACAAAAATTAAAAATAATGATATTTTAATGTTAAAAGAGGGTAGATAAAAAATTAAGTGCATGTATTATAAAAAGTTTATTAAATAATTGATTAAAAAAAATAGTTTGGGAAGTAGAAATATAGTGATAAATTGATTACGAAAATAAAAAAAATAGTGAAATAATTTTAATGGATTGATAAAATATCATTTAATTTGAAAGATGATTCTTTGGGATTTTTTTTTAATAATATAATTCTTATATTTTTTAATAGTTTTTTTTTGTATATATATACAATGTTGAAGAGATTAATCATAAAATAATGTTGGATATATATACATTAGAAAGTAAAATAAAATCCTTAAAATTGCTCAAATGAAAATAGAGAGTTTGTGGACATCTAAATGACAATAAAAATTATTTAATAAATCAAACAAACAGCTATTACTATAACTTAGACAAAAGTTAACTTACTCCCTACCATCTCATGAAAACAAATTTTATGTTCATTGCATGAAAATTTACACTACTTAGATTTAATTAATACTCCTGTGTAAAATTATGTAGATTTGGTAATGTGCGAAAATTAAAAAATAATAATATTTTAACATTAAAATGAGATGATAAAAAGTAAAATAGGGGTATTGTGAAAAACTATTAAATAATTAATAAAAAAAATAGTTAAGTTAGTAGAAAAAGTAATAGCAAGTCAGTTATTATTTGTTAAAGTAAACCTAATAAAATTGTGAATAAGGAAAATTGTTTGCTATAAATGAATTATACAAAAATTTAAAGGACAAAAAATATCTATATATAGTGACATAATTTTAAGTTTTTAATGGACGAAGAAAATATCATCTACTTTGGACGATGATTCTTTGGAATTTTATTTTGTTTCGAAAATTTTTGTATTTTAATATAATTCTTATATTGTTTAATGGAATAATTTTTTTATAATGGTGGAGACATTAATCATAAAACAATGTTATAGATATATATATATGTATTTATTAAAAAGTAAAATAAAATCCTTGAAATTGTACAAATGAAAATGATACTTAATTTAGTTGATTAAGAACTTCAAAAATTTAATCTTGAACTCAAAATACTAACTAAGTAAAAGGAACTAATGGATAGACTTAATTTTCTGCAAAAAATTATAAATCACGAACCCATGGTTAATTTTAAATAAATCCGATTTAAAATCAATGTGTAAGAAATCGTTCACTCACACTTTGAAAATAAATATAATGAAAAACAAAATTTTCCAATGAAATAGAGATATATTATGACTAAAAATTAATATGAAAATAGATACAATAATAGCTTATAAATAGGCAAAATGAAGAGTACAAAACACTTGCTATAACTAAATTGACAATAGATTCTCACAGACAACATATTTCAATATAATTAATTGTTGCAGGTTTTCAAAAGTATATTATCAATATTACAATAATAGAAATGCATTCTCAAAAAAGAATATATTTTTAAAATTGTAATTAATGGTAATACATTTCAAAAAAATATTGTAAGCAATTATGTCAATGTTTTTTAGGTAAGTAATGACATCATTACATGTCTGCACTCATTATAAATGTACATAACTGTTAGGCTCAAGCCAATGAGTCTTCATGTTTTATCTATGTTTATATTCTTCAACTCGAGCTCTCGGATTAAGCCGAAAAATTGATCTTGAATTTTACGAGCTCGAATTCGGATAGTTGGTCCAAGTGGTCAGGATGGCATTTGGACCTCCACGTCTCCTACATCATACAAAAACAAATCGACAATATTAAAAATACAATGGAGTTAGTACTCACCTGGGAGTTCGATGTTGTAGACGTTGTCATTCATTTTCTCCAAATCATGGAAAGGACATCACCATGTGGGGTTAACTTAGATTTTTTTTTCATCTTGGGAAAGTTTCTTATGCAAATGCAACCAATTCCACTTACCGAGATGAAATTGGACTTTCTTAAAAAAATTTTTTGCTTGCTTTATGTATTGCTCAGCCGTTTTCTAGAGTCTTGTGCGGACTTCATCATACAATTGATGCACAAATTCAGCTTTCTTTCACGCATCGGCTACCACATTATTTTTTATTTTTTTGTACTTGACAATGTAAGAAAAGATGTCGGTGAAAGAGATCCACTAGATGTCTTTAACTTGACTTTTTTTAAGATTTGATGTGCTTCAAGGACTTGTGGTCGGTATGGACAACAAACTCATGTGGGCGCAGGTAATATTTCCAAATTTGAAAAGCACGGATCAAATAATAGAGTTTCTTGTCATATGTGCAGTAGTTAAGAGATGCACCATATAACTTCTCACTAAAGTACGTCACGAGTGTTTTGTCTTGAGTTAGAATGGCTCAAATCCCTACACAAGAAACATCAAAATCAGTCTCGAATGCTTTTGAAAAATCGGGTAAATTAAGGATAGGTGCTTGTATGAGTTTTTGTTTCAATGTATCAAAATC